GGATGGGTACCATTAGTGTCCAATGTCTCCCCAAGAGCAGCCTGAGTCTCCTTGTCTCCTCCCCGACCCCTCTCACCCCCAGCTGTCATTTCACTTTCCTAAAAGCCTTCCCTTTGCCCACGAAGCCATTAGATGGTCGTCCTCTGGCAACAGCTAGTCCTTTCCCTCCTTCCTGCCACCCAGCTGAATCTTGAATCAACACCAGAAAACTGGGTGTGAACGGAAGGAGACGGCTCATTATTTGCCATTATTTACCTCCCAGTGTGTGCATTCCCATTCGTCCCATATTCATATTCTTGTCTCTCCCCTGCCTCGCCTCCCATCCCCTTATAACTACATCTCTCTGTCTGTCTCTCCCTCTTTCTTTTCCCAACCCTTCCACACACCTGGGAACTGTTATCACCAGAGTACACCAGCCCACTGCATTAGCCATAGAGAACCGCAGAGCCGGAGGCAGGCGGTAAAGGACGGCAGATACAAGCGACTCAGACAGGCCCGCCCGCCGCCGCCCGCGAGGAGACCGTGCCCCGCCAGTGCCGTACACAACAGAGCTCTGCTCATGAGGCCTCTACAAGCTACAAGGAGGGAAGACCCGAGGCAAAAACGCAAGACATTACATATTACGCCACACTACATAGACACTGCCCAGCCGCAGTCTGACAGAAGTAAGCCCGAGGGCGGGAAGACAGAGGGGACGCGGATAGGGATGCCCCCTTGACGAGAGGGGCGGGGCGCGGGCGGAGCTATCACTGGCAGAGGCCGGAGGACTTCCTCGCATGGCCGGGCGCGGCAGGGACTTACACCTAAGGACGATACCGGGACATATACATCGCGGGTCCAGAGGCTTCCTCGCGGGCCAGGGCTTATACATATCATGGCCGGAAAAAAACACAGGCCGGGGAGCCCCAGGCAGAGCAGAGCGCCCTGGCGACCTGGGCCATTTCGGGGCGCCAGCCCCACCCGGCAGTTATCAGAGCCGGAAGCCAGAGCGGAGATAACCGGCTCCCCGCCCGGTGGCCACCTAGTCTGCAACAATTTTTCTTTTTTTCCTGGAATAACCAGACTGCAGCCCCCAAGGGCGCACGGACCCCGCCCCCTACGGTGGGCTGCCCGGGGCATCTGTGGGTTCCGCAGGCTTCCCTGGCCTTTCAGAAGGACCCCCAGCAGCCTGCTCCTGAGGAAAAGGGATTCTGGGGACAAGGGTTGGGCGTTGGGGCCTGAATTCCTCAGGCCAAGATGGTCCTGGTCCTCGCCACCCCAGCCCATAGCAGATGGCTTTGGGTGGCCGGGTCCTAGAATCCCCAGCCTGGAGAGTCTGAATGTAAGGCACAAACTCCCATGACACAAGCAGCCGATTATAATGCAGTTTTTACTTTCTCATTTAATCATTAGCATCATCATTCCCATCTTACATATGGCCAATGAGGCTTAGAGAGTGACCAGAGCAGGGTCACTGGGGGTGAGAGGACCTGCAGTAAGAGCCAGCACTTACTAAGCACTTAAGTCTTTCCCATCCATCAGACTTCACAAGACTCACGTCATTTAATCCTCAGGGCAACCCTAGGAAATACGTGCTACTCTTACTCCTGTTCACAAGTGAGAAAACTGAGACACAGAAACGTTGTGTTCTTTGTACCGGGTGCCCAGCTGCTTAGTGGTGAAGCCAGGACTCAACCCCTGAGCAATCTAACGCTCGACCTTTACCCTCTCTGGCTAGAACCCAGCACTGGAGGTTGCAAATCTCAGAAACCCAGTAAAACGGGGCATGTTCCTTTGGCGGCTGTGGATCAAGAAATAGCTGGTGGTTAGTCTCTGCAGGTGTGTGGGTGTGTTTGTCATTGCGATGGTGTTTCCTGTTGGTTTTCAAACCCCTAGCACCAGGTTTCCAGTCACCATGGGTAGATGCCAGCCATTTGCCACAGCATATTATGCAGTCATTCACTCCCACATTGACCCTCTCCCTGCAGGAAGCAGGCCACAGTGTATGGTCAGGATAAGTTGCTTCACAGTTTTGTCCTCAGGAAGCTTCGGTCTCACGGGAAAGACAAACAAGAAAACAAGATTACCAGCCTTGGAGTAGCAAGCCTTGAGAGGCGAAAGGCTCCTCATTCAGGGAGCCCTAGAGGCTCACAGCCCAGACTTGGGAAACCAGAGCAAACCTTTCTTAGGGAGCCTCACCTGCCCGGACCTAACATATGGATAGGAGCAGCCAGGGGAACGGGACAGAGGGAGTGCAGGGTGTCCCAGACAGAGCACAGCATGGGCAAACCTGGAGGACAGGTAAAAGTTTGCAGTTATCCACGGACTAGATCTGTCTCTTGCACAACTGCAAGCACTCTTCAGCTCTGGGTCCCTACCCTTGCCCAAGGCTAGCCAGGATGTGCACCTTAAAAGGTGTTGAGTGAATGTGTGCCCCCCAGGAATGAGGCCTGCGCTTTGGGGCCTCATGATGTAGAGGGAGGCCTCCTTCCTCTCACCAGCTCCTTCCCTTCACTGCCTCTCTAGCCTCTGTCAAAAGCTTTCATCTAGAAACTCTGGTATTCATCATTTACACTGAAGTCTGTTAAAGCATGCCCACAAACACAGAGACACCCTGCGCTTGAAGTCTTTCCTCTGTAAATGGCATTGTTATAGACACTAAAATGTTTGTATCCCCCTCCCACCCCAGATTTATATAGTGAAGCCCTAACTTCCAGTGTGATGGTATTTAGAAGTGGGGTCTCTGGGAGGTAATTAGGTTTAGGTGAGGTCACGAAGGTGGGGCCCCCATAATCAGATTAGTGTCCTTATAAAAAGAGAGAGACCAAATCTCTCTCTCTCTCTCTCTTCCCCTGCCATGGGAGGATATAGCAAGAAAACAGCTATTAGCAAGCCAGGAAGAGGACCCTCTCCAAAGACTGATTCTGCTAGCACCTTGATCTTGAACTTCCCAGCCTCTCCAGAACTGTGAGAAATAAATGTCTGTGATTTAAGCCACACCAACCAGTGTGTAATAATCTGTTACAGCAGCCTGAGCTGAGGACAAGGACTTACAGGCTTGTCCCTGTGGAAAGCTGACAGGCCTCCCCAGCAGGCCAGGGGGAAGCATCTTTCTAGAACCCTTGTCCATGTCCTTTCGTATTAAATTAGCCCTCAGGCCTATGAGTACCCAGCGCTCCCTCTTATTTGGAAGCAGCTGATTAGTCCAAGACCATAGTAGGACTGTCTAGCTAATGGCCTGGGCCCCAGTCAACTTGCTCTTGTTCCAACCCCAGTTTCTTTTTCTTTTTATTTATTTATTTATTTTTTATTTTAGTGTATTATGGGGGTACAAGTGTTAAGGTTACATATATTGCCCATGCCCCCCTCGCCCCTCGAGTAAGAGCTTCAAGTGTGACCATCCCCCAAATGCTGCACATCTTACTCCTTGTGGTTGTATTTACCCATCCCTTCCTCCCCCCTCCCACCTGCCCGACACCTGATAAATGTTACTTCTATATGTCCACTTAGGTGTTGATCCGTTAATACCAATTTGCTGGTGAGTACATGTGGTGCTGGTTTTTCCATTCTTGAGATACTTCGCTTAGTAGAATGGGTTCCAGCTGTATCCAGGAATACACAAGAGGTGGTATATCACCATTGTTTCTTAAAGCTGAGTAGTATTCCATGGTATACATATACCACATTTTATTAATCTACTCACAAATTGAAGGGCACTTGGGTTGTTTCCACAGCTTTGCAATTGTGAATTGTGCTGCTATAAACATTTTAGTGCAGATGTCTTTTCATAAAGTGACTTTTGATCTTTTGGGTAGATGCCCAGTAGTGGAATTGCTGGATCAAATGGTAGATCTACTCGTATCGCTTTGAGGTATCTCCATATTGCTTTCCACAGAAGTTGAACTAGTTTGCAGTCCCACCAGCAGTGTAGGAGTGCTCCTATCTCTCCGCATCCACGCCAGCATTTGTTGTTTGGGGACTTTTTGATAAAGGCCATTCTCACTGGAGTTAAGTGATATCTCATTGTGCCAACCCCAGTTTCTAAGAAGCAGCCACCTCCCCCAACACACGCACACACACACACACTTGTGCCTGTGCATCCTTTAACAGGGTGGGGCAGGGCTGGAGGAGGTTGCCCCCGTGAGTCACTCACAGTCCAGTTCCCAGGAAAACACAACAGAGTTAGGGCTGAATCTGGGTCTGAGAAGGGAGTGGGCAGACCCAGAGCAGCCACAAGCAGAGAGTGGGGATGAAGGAGAAGAGGAGGGAGCTGGTGCAGGAGGAATTCTCTTGAGGTCCTCAAAGACTTCCAGATCCATCACCCCTACGACCAAGCAGCCTCCATGTGGCACACATTTCCGGAGCAACTCCTATATTGCACCCAGCTCTGCGTGCTGGCCCCAGATGAAACAGTCAAGTGAGGTGCAAACTTATTCTGCACTGGCCTTTCAGATTTATAGAAAATAATTTTGCATACTCACTGGGGAAAAAAAGTGGGTTTTCAGTATACTTTTTAAAAAATGCAATCATGCTATACTTGTTATTCAGCAACTTAGTTTTTACACCATTTTTTTTTTCCACCTCTTGCATGAGAAGCATTTACACCATTTTTTAAGCTCCCTCTATGTTGATAAGGCAATGCATTCCTTTCAACGGCTTACATATGTCATCATATAAATATACCTTTTACTTAGCCACACCCTTTGATGGACATTTAAGCTTTCAGTTTTTAGCCCTCACTCGGGGGAGAGACAGACCCTCTAACACAGGGTGATGTGTGGAGTGCTAGTGATATGCACAGGGACAGAGACCACTGCACACACTGGGTTAGTACTCAAAAAATACCCAGAGGACTAAATTGAAGCAGTGGAGGGAACGGTGGAGTCAACCAGAAATTTCTTTGTTCCTGATTTCAATAGGCCTTCCTGAGTATACTCCTTATTGGTCTGGAAAGGGGGCTGGGGCCAGGAGACCCTCTGTTCTCCGTGATCCCCAGGTCCTAAGAACAGCTATATTCTTCATCCGCTGTAAGACTCCTTTTTTTCCCCCTTTTAAAACATCTTAATATATCTAAAGTCAGGATGCATGTTACAAATCAGTAGCTTTGCTGCAATCTCTGTTGGCCTGGACTGAAGTTTAGTCCTTCCAGAGAGGATGTGTGTTGCTTCTGCCAGTCGCTGGGAAAGCCTGGGGAGTCAGAAAAAGCTTCCTAGAGAAAGTGAGGTTGGGTCATCTTGAAAAACTGAGCAAGTGTATTCAGCAGGACAGACTGGAGAAGAGCACTGCAGGCACACAGCAGGTGCTCACAAAATAGTTTGCACAGACCCAGCATGGCGGCTCACACCTGTAATCCTAGCACTCTGAGAGACCAAGACGGGATGATCGCTCAAGGTCAGGAGTTCAAGACAAGCCTGAGCAAGAGTGAGACCCTGTCTCTACTGAAAATAGAAAACAAATTAGCTGGACAACTAAAAATATATAGAAAAATTTAGCCAGGCATGGTGGCCCATGCCTGTAGTCCCAGCTACTCGGGAGGCTGAGGCAGGAGGATTGCTTGAGTCCAGGAGTTTGAGGTTGCTGTGAGCTAGGCTGATGCCACGGCACCCTAGCCCAGGCAACAGAGTGAGACTCTGTCACAAAAAAAAAAAAAAAAAAAAAAAAAATAGGTACATGATTCCTCTGGGGCCTGGCAGGAGGAGAGGGAGTGGGTGTTGCGCTGGCATGCACCTGCTGGGACTTAGCCAGTGCCCCGCACAGAGACCCCACTGACACTGGAGCCCCACAGCTTGTGCACTCAGCATGCTGCTCTCCCTGTACAGGGGTTTTCCCTGAAAAAAACAGGCAGGAAAGGACATACTTATCCAGCAGGAATGGGAGTGTGAGGGAGGGAGGGGGATTTGCAGATTCGAAGTTGGAAAATGACTCGTTCCTGTTTGCTGGGCTGGGAAAGCACCAGTAAGCCCTGTGGGCAAAGAGGAACCCACGCACTGGGCAGTAAAGGGAGGACAGGACATTCCTTGGTCAAGGAAGCACACAGGCCTTTCCCCCTGCTGAGGTGCACCCCGGGGGTCAGCTCAGCCTGGGCCATGCTGGCCCCAGAGAGGAGCCCTGCTGCAGAGAACCCCCAGGTGGCAGAGGGGAAGGGCCCGAAGCATCAGCTGCAGTCCCAGCACTGCCCATAACCCCTGAAAGTGAGGTCAGCCTTCTCTGAGTGCACAGGGCAGAGAGTGGGTGAGCTTAGTGGTTCTCAGCCAAGGCTGCACGTTAGAACCACCCGGGGAGCTTAGAAGACTAACAGAGGCCCACATCAATGAAATCAGTATTTCTGAGGGCAGGACCCTGGCACTGTGTCGTTTTGCTTTTAAACTCCTCGATGGTTCCAGTATGTGGCCAGGCAATGAGCTACTAGCCTAGACCATCTCCAGGTCCCCTCCTTTAGTCTGGCCCTATGGACACCGCTTATCGGGCACGTCTCCCACCTCCTGTTCTCAGAACACCCCCCATTGTGTTGTACAGTCTCACCTATGTCTGATTTGTGGTTTTATCCCAACAAACCTGTAAATACTTTCCCACCAGGCTTAGGGCAGAAGACAGGGCTGCTCTGCTGTGAAGTTTGGTTCGGTTCAAGAAACAGTTCCTGAACATCTATGGTGCTTGGGGACAGCGTGCCAGGAGCTGGGGCACACAGCAGGTCCCTGCACTGGGGGATTGAGTAGCCCAGAGGGGAAGTCAGATCCTGAACCTGTGCCTTGATGTCAGATGCCCTGGGGCACTGAGAAAAGCAGTTACCTCAGGATGGGTTGGAGTAGGGAGGAAGAAGCCTTGATGGCCATGTAGGA